TCCCACATGGCTTAGTAAGTTAAAAACTTAGTGTCAAACCCTGATCCTTAATTGCTTTCTAATCTTAACTCTTTGATCCCTAGGGGTGGCCAATGTCTAATTTTTCCTTACTAACAATAAAATTATCTCTCCTTATAAAACATCAAGGTCAACACAAGAATAAAGAAAAATGACCATCAATTTAATCAGCCCCTAGTGTCAAACAAATTATCCTTGTCACAACCATGAAAATGTAAAAAGGGCAGTGCAGAGAATACTGATGTTAGTCTCTGGGTGTAAAGGGTAAACTGGTCATTTCTCTTACTGATACATGTATCTTTATTGAGTACCAGCCATGGTATTAGCAATTTAGGAGACACATTTAACTTCCATTGTTAGATTCACGTACACTGCTTAGTGGAAAATACACACGAGCGGCATGTGGTCAAATTACATGCAGACTGCCTGTAATCGAAGGTGCGTATAGGTGCTGTTATTCCTGCAGCATGTACTGTACAAGTGTGCTAATTTCATTTGCCCATTTACAGTGTAACCTTTACAGTCTGACATCAGCGTAATTGTGTAATAAATGTATCTTTAAGTTATTAGACATTTTGTTGTGTCAAGTATCACTGATTATCTTTATGAGTTGTGCCGTACATGTAGTTCAACAAGCCCGTAGAGATTATTTTAGTGCGAATATTTCTAGAATACAAATATCGTGTGATATTTGTACTTGTCTCACATGTTACTTGTACTCTACGAAGCGCAGTTGGATAATAATTTTCCTTACTGCTCCCTTAACAAGTTACAAGTATGTACATTCCCTATGAGACTAACAATTTTTTTTTTCTTTTAACAATAGAGAACTTCTCAAAATGGCAATCTTTTTCTGTTTCCTTTTCTCCTGTGACTGTTCTGTTAGATTCAGGGGTGATAATAATTGTGAGGAGAAATTAGAAGCTGGTCACTCTTTGGGTTGAATACTTGTTAAAATAAACAAACAAGCAAGAAAAAAAAAAAACAAAACCTCTCTATAATTATACAAAACGGTATTTAAACAAAACTCACCAGGCAAAACTGTGACATTAATAAATGCATATCCATAAGATCGGTCCACAGCTGTGACTTTCACTTTGAATTCATACACACCAGATTGATCAAGCTATTTGCAGACAAAAAGTAGCTTTTAGTTGTTTCCCATACAGTACATTTCATAACTGAAGGATCTCCAGAAGATCTCATTATTCAAAGAGGTTATGTTTCTTCTCAAACTAAACTAAACTAAACTTTTTAACCATATGCAAGTACATTGAACACTGACTATTTTTCTTGTCAATAAACTCATAAATTTAATCCTTAAGAAGCACAGGACAGGGGTTATTGATTCCGCCTGAAATGAACTGTATTTACGCGCATGCGCACATGTACTTATGCATACCTGACTGAGTATTACTCTTCTGGAGTCCTGCCCCTCCATATAACCATGACTACCCTCTGGGGCTGAGATCTGTTGCCAGTGGTATGAGTATGGATTTTCTAACAATCAAAATAATATAGAAAATTTGAAATTTAAGACATGAATGTATGGTAAAAGTATGCTTGATAATTTAAAATAAACAAATTACACTGCACTTTCTTTCGAATGGCTTATTAGCCTAATAACCTGCTAGGAATGCTGGGAGAACACTTACATAATTATGTTAAAATAATAATAATCATCATCTTTATTTGCCTTAATTTTAACAATACAAAGATTAATTTTTCTTAGTGATAACAGCTATAGAAGGCAAAGAGACCCAAGAGGCCACCACACTTATGGGAGACCCACCTCCCAAAAGGTTTGTAGATCACCGCTTCCCGGTTAGTTCAATTGGTTAGAGTGTTGTGAGGGAGGTTGAGGGTTCGAGCCCTGGCCGGACCAATACTCGTGGTCTTAAAATAAGTGAGGAGAATTTGCTACCTTTCTATAATCAAGAAATGGATAGATATTCTAGTCTTCTCGGATAAGGACAAATAAACCNGACTAGGAGTATTTCTACTCCCCCCTGGATGGGATGCCATTAAATTTGCCGGTACCCATTTATACACCTGGGTGAAGAGAGGCACTGTGAGAGTAAAGTGTCTTGCCTAAGAACACAACACAATGTCCCGGCCGGGGCTCGAACCCGGACCACTCGATCCAGAGTCAAGCGCACCAACCATGAGGCCACCGCGCCTCCACATGGCAGACAGTAGGTACTGTAGAATCACAAATGAGATCTTGGCAGTGGACGGGTTGTGCACATTGGTGTTAGGATGAGAAAGGTTAGGCATGAAGAGCCACTTGAAAGAGTCATTAACCTTTTAATTCCCAAGATCTGATTATGAATTCTCCCTACTAGCTGCTACACATCAATTGAGGTAACAACCTCTACCTGATGAGTTTGAGTATTCTCCTTACCAGTTTGCTAGATCATGTATGGATATTATAGTGAGAAGTTACAGGTTAATCACTTCTGGGAGTTAAAGAGTTAAAAACTTGCTTGTATACATATAAAATTTGTGTCATCTCAAATTATTAAGTACGTGTGATAGGACTACATGCTGTCCAATTTGGCAATAATTGGATGAAAAAAATCTGATGACAGCTGAAATTGGAGGAGGCCAATTATTTGCCGGGCTTGACCCTAACTTTTCAACTTACTTAAAATAAGCCAAGTGGCAAGTGATAACTTAAATGTTACAACAATTTCAGTTTGTTTACTAGCCAAACTGGCTAGTGGAAACTAAAAACCACTAGCCAAAACTGAATTTCTACTAGTCTGGGACTAGTTGGCTACTGTTAGTGTTTAAAAGCACTGATTTGGCTGTCTGAGGACCTTTTTAAAACCAATTATTTCCAAAAATTGGACAAGCATGTAGTCCTCTGATTTATTAATTGCAAGCTAGTCAGTTGAAATTGGGCATTGCTCTGTCGAAGTACTGCATTCATTCTCTATTTTTTTTTAACTGTCCAATAAATGATTACTTTGATTAGTTTCAAACTATTCAAATTAATCTTCAATCAGGTTTTAAAAGAATTAAAGAACAATTATAGCCATGCTGACAGTTTCAAAGCTATACAATTGATGACACTACATGTAGCTGTCATTAAACAATACTATAATAATTATTGCAACTTAAAGTTATTTATTAAAAAGCTTGCAAAAATTCATGTACCTTTTTTCTCTAATAAGTTCCTTGTTTGAATCAGACTCCCCCACATTTGTACTATAAAAAATAAAAGCACTGCAATCTTTAAAAAAAATAAAATTTAAGAAAGAGGACATTTACCACTTTCCTCAGTATGATGTAAGGTATCAAATCAAATCTAGATGTACAGTACAGGCCGCAGGAATAGTATCACCTACATGCAGCAAGATAGCAGATTTACATGCAAATTACATACACATTATGCAA